ACTTTTTTCTGCATTTCCGTTAAATGGTAGAACAATTATTATAAAATAGTATCAATTGCTGCAAAACATGATAACAGAAAAAATTTCTGTAAAATGCTTTCATTCCCATTCGATTTTATTTTGGATTGACACGAACGCTTATGTACCAGAAAAATGCGGTGTAATTTTTCCTAACTATGAATTACCATGTCTCACAAAAATGATCGGCCATCATATACATATTTTTATTTTTTAAGTCATAGAAGAAAGGCTTTGAATTAAAATAATAAAGAATATTTTTAGCCCTCTTCTTGTACTAAATAAATTTGAAAAAAAAATTAACAGTAAATTTAAAAAATAACGTTTTATGCTGAAATGAGAAAAAAAAAGATACCACAAAATTAATCGAACATTTTCATAATTTCTAACGAAAATCGTCTGTAATAAATAAAACACGAAATTTTAGGGAATTAGTTTGGATAAATAAGCTAGGCAAAAATCTGAAAATCGATAGCTTCTATAATTAGAATTTTCGTTTTAGAAAATATTCGTTATTTTAAATAATTTTCTTGCAATGGCTCGATCATGAAAGAAAACATCGTTAGAAAACTGCAGATTAGTTATTTATTTGCATCAAAAGAAAGAGAAAATCTATTAGAAAAATGACCTAGTTACGTAGTTTAAGTCATTCTACAGTGTTTGATATTATCAAGCCTTATAAGAAACAGAATCATATTCAAAACAAAAGAAGACAAGAAGACCATCGAAATTATTTGATGGAATGAAGCGCTTTATTCTAAGGAATATTAAAAAAAAAATCCAAGACTGAGTGCTCCTAATGTTAGGAACTTGTTGCGTAACTTCGTGAATGATATGGAATATGTGTAAATCCAGAAAATATAAGAACAGTAATACGATCTACAGGATATCATAGGTGAGTAGCAAGAACAAAATTTTGTGTCAGTAAAGAAAACCGAAAACTTCGACTCGCTTTCCCAAAATCGCTGAAACAAAATACACCCCACTACTGGAAAAAAAGTGTTGTTTGTTGATGAAAGCAAATTTAATATCTTTTTGGCTCAGGTGGACGATTGCTGGTGTGTAGAAAACCCAAAGAAAATTTCGGAAGCAAAACTTAGTACCAAGTGTTAAACACGTCGGAGGAGGAGTTGTGGTATGGGGATCTTATGGCACATTCCGGTGTTGGTAATATGGAGTTTATGTGGCATTATGGATCAGTATAAGTACCTTGATATCTTGAAGCGAAATTTGGCATCGAATCGAAAATTCGAAAAGAGAGGGAATCTTCGCGGAAGCAAATGAAAGCAGTGATTCAAGAGGAGTTGCATATAGTAAGTCCAAAATTAACAAAAAATAAATTGTGGAGTCAATACCTAAAAGATTTAATGAAGTGACGAAGTGTAAAGGTAATCCCAAAAGGTATTAATAAACAAAAACAATGTAAGTTTTTATCACTTTTGGCTGTTACTAAAAGTGTTTGATTATTTTTGTAAGAATATTTTTCGACATTAAACAAATGATATTGATTTTTGAATTTAATATTCATCTTTTCGAAAACGTATTTATTCTGAAAGAATGTTGAACTTATACATTATGAAAATAAAAGCATTTCTTTTTGTTTTTATTTATTTTAGTTTTTATGTCCATTAAAGAATACAAAAATGCAAAGTGTCCTATCATTTTTGTGAGCCACTGTATGATGCATCATAAATGCATTTGAAAGTAAATTAGTAATATTTTGAAAAGATTGTCTGTAATAAATCTTTTTTTCAAAATATTACTAAGAAGTGTAGATAAAAACTTTTTTAAACGATATTCTTTGAATTTCGGTGTGCAATGTATTTTTATACTATCGAAGGTAAATAAAATACCTTATGTATTATCTATTGGCAGTAACATGCTATCATATTATTGACTTGTATTTATAAACAAATGTTCTCGTGTTTTCAATCATTATTCATAATGAACAAAAATGTATCTCTAACAGAAAGCATAATCGAAAATAATTGTTTTGCAAAACATCAGATTTCTGTTTAACATTTTGAAGACGAATTCAGCATTAAAATATATATTATTATACTATCGAATATAAATAAAAGACCTTATACATTGTCAATTGGCAACAGAGTACTGTCGTGTTTTTGATCTTTATATATGAAGGACATGTTTTTATCACTAACGTAAGATAATAACATCCCCAAGAGGTGTTACTAATAATAGACATATCATTATTAGTCAAAAATTTGCAGAGCTATGTAATTGTTAATTTTAAGTTTTTCTTGAGTCTACTTTTGATATTCCTTATCTTAATTAATGTTAAGAATAAGACTGAATATTTCTTATATTGATCATAAATTAGACTGAACACTCTGAATACTTCTTATATAGTAGTTCTTACATTAATTTAATTAACGTTGAGAATATCATTATAAAAATTATTGTTTTTATTAATTAATGTTAGGAATAAGATTTACATAATTAATGATAAGAAAACGATGGAGAAAGAACAATATTATAAATAACAATTAAGATTAACATTATTTTAAACACTATTTTTGTGCCCAAAAGTACATTAAAACTGTAATGTGTTGTTACCCTCAGTATATTACAACAAAATACTAGTATATTACAACAAATACAGTAAAAAAGCAAATCATTTAAAAAGTAAGTCTTTACATTTCAATAACATTTTATAAGTGTTATTTTACAGTGTATAAAATAAATTTCTAGCATCTTATGTTATATAGACTGTAAATTTCTTAATTGTGCACATTATCATCCACATAAAAATTAAAATGATTTAAGGATAATTAAGAAATTTTGCAAAACCACATATATATTCCAACCTTATATGGAAGCTAAAAGCGGCAGTGTAAAAATTAAAACTAGGCAAGAGGAAGAATTTGTATTTCGAATAAAAACTGATCGATTTCGATGGCAGTCAGAGTTTTATTCAAAATCTAGGCCAGTTTAGGGTGTGTTTTTTTCTAATTTTCTTTTCTTCATTACAATACGCTTTCTCATATTTTGGTATTTACCTGTTTTTCTCATTATTTTACGTTCAAGGACAAATTTACTGATACAAACGTCAGAGCTTTCAAAATTGCATTTTCTTATAATTGAGTTTTAGTTACTTTTAACAGTAAAAAGTAAGTTTTATCAACTGGGATACGTATTATATATCAATGCGTATTATTTTTATTTGTATAATTATAAATTACATTTTGACGTAATGGAATGCATGTTATTTTTATTGGATTTATTTAAAAAATCATTCATTTAAACTAAAGAAAAATTACCAAAAATAAATACCATTATGTAAAATATCATTTACAAAATAATAATTTTTTTACTATTATGAAAAATATTATTTATAAAATAACATTTTTTTACTATTATGAAATATATTATTTATAAAAAACTTTCAAAGAAGATATCAGAGCTTTAAACATTTAATTTCTTTAAGATTAATGAAATTTCTTTTAACAGCAAGCATTAAGTTTTATCAGGAGTAAATGCCATTTTTATTTGTTTAATGATTATAATTCCTCTGAAGTACTAAATTGCATGTTATTTTTTAATTCCAATTAATTTTAAAATATCACAAATTTAAAGCCTAAAGGAAAATTAGCAAAAATTAATATCATTGTAAAAAGTATACATTACAGTTAGTAATACTTGAAAAAATAACATTTATTAATATTATTTTTTCAAATTATTTAATTATTATTCAATTAATATTATTATAAAATACCTCCCAGCTTTAAAAATTGAAATAGTAGGTATTAATATCATTTATCTCATAATAAAATATCATCTGAGATACTGTACGTTATTTTATATTTTTCCAATCAATTTCAAAATTTTATGCCGTTATTGCAAATATACGTTTCTAGTTTGATATGTTTTATGTAGTCTAGATTTCTTACTTTTGTTGTTTGTTTTCACATTGTTGTGTAAATTATTATCAGTACTGTTATAATAATGTAAAAAAAAATAATATTGAAATTTTTGAGCTTTCAAAATTAATTTTTCATTTGAGTTTTAATTTTATTTTGCAGTAAATATTCCTTTTTATTAGATGGAAAGAATAGATCTTATTTTTATTGGAGTGCATATACTATTTTATTAATTTTTTTTAATTTAAAATATTAAGCCTTAAAGACTGAAAAAATTAACAAAAATGATTATCAACCTAAAAATGTAAATGATAAGACTATTATAAATAAGATTTAAGTAATATCAATAAAAATTGATATAATTATAAAAGTAAACTGTTGAAAAAAAGTCCCATCCTTTTAAATTTTTTTAGTTAAATTTTAATATTTATCAGTAAATGTTCAGTTTTATAAATTGGTTGGGTTGGGTTGGGTTATTCAATTATGGCAAAGCACACGAGGGCTATCTGCCTAAAGGGAGGGATGCCTTCGTGGAGGACTTTCTAAGGGAAACTGGCTCGTATACACGTTACACATGGGGAAAACCACAAAAACGTCCACGCAGCCAGCCCGTTCGCGGGATTCGAACCTCGAACCGAACTACCAGTATTCAGCGTCTTTACCGCTCGGCCGCTGGTGGGCTTTTTTATAAATTGGAAACTGTACCTGTTATTTTTTATTTATTACTGCCCTTTATTATTATTTTTATGTATTGTTATTTTACTTGATATAAATTAGATATTTAAGTTCCTAAGGCTTAAAAAAAATAGGTATCTCATAAAATGAAGATTCAGCAAGTAAGTAAATAAAATTCCTAGATAGGTATGCATATTGCTCTCTTCCCCTCTAGTTAATAAAAAAAAACATATTAAAACCTGTTAATTAAAAAAGTATGCATGTGAAAACTGAAAAATATTAACACAAGTGAATATTGCTATCCAAAACACTGAAGCTTCGATTATAATTCTATGAGAATTCTATGTTTATTATTCTAGCAATTAATATAGTTTAAAAGACTTAATTCTTAATCATTAATCTTTTGTGAAAAACAAACTAACTTACGTATTTTTGGTTTCACTTGAATGCCATCAGTAATAAATCAGTATCCAAACAGTGCAAGCAAATGTCAACCTCTTTAGAAAAGATCACACATTCCTGTTTATGTACAAACAAACAGTTCTGTCCTATAAATAGTGACACAAAGACCTACAGCTTAATCCCTCCACTGCAGTTAAGATGTCTTATCGAAGAATTAACCTCCCAATCACCAAAGCTCCAGAAGATACCGCAACATCCAACTGTACGTTCTGATGAAGCGAATGCGGCTTTCTTCTGGCAGACCGGGACACCATATTTTTAGATTAGAACATTAGGGAATGAGTCCAAGATCCGGCGGAACAGTTTGGAACTGTAGAGCCCGACGTTTGAAGAATAAAACCAAAAGAGAAGACTGATGTCAAAGGAGGTGAGAGTGTAGGGAAAATATCTAAAAACAACTCTCTTTAAAAAAAAAAAAAAAAAAAAAAAAAAAAAAAAAAAAATCCCAGGTAGTGCAGTATACCTTGAGATAATTTATGTGTGGCCGTTGTGAAGGGGATTTAAGCGTCGATGTGCAGTTTTGAGTTCTGTTCAAGGCTGCTGGTCCTTTTTTTTCCCTCCAAGCAAGTGCCGTCTGCATTAAAGTGTTTGTTGTAGGCGTGCATATGTCGCGCTACGTGTGATATGAGTAAGATGGAGTGAGTTGGGCCACATTTCTGGTATTACAAACTTCTCTTTATTATGCATTAAGGATAGAATGTTGTGTGATAAAGAATTAGCTCTTCGTTTTGTAAATTTGTTTTCTCAAAGGCAACAGACGGATAGTTCAGCAGTTTGAAATTGGCAAGTTTTATATTCTAAACCCCCGTTGTTGTTTATTTGGGCACCTATCAGTCTTTTGTGTAATATGACAGTTTTGACGGAGTTCAAGTTTTTTTCCATGCCAGAAGGCTTATGTGAACACGTTTTTCAGTGTGGAGCCATTTTGTTTTGAAATCATTATACATAAAAACGCACATTGAAATCATTATGTGCAAAAAAGCATACTATCCATATATTGGCTGAAGTCTAAACTTTTTGTGCCAGTCAGAAGCCAAGCCCATAATATTTGCTAAGCTATTGGGTTAAAATGCCACCAAACTGGCTGCTTGCACGGGTCTTTTACCAGATTTCTGCATGTAAAACGTCACCAAGCCATTTTCTGTCAGGAAGTCTTTCAAAAACTTATCGCTTTCCATGTATACAACAGCTCTGATGTGCTTTGCCTTAATCTAATCAATCTAATCCAGTTTCTTTGTGCTAGATGACAAATAGTTATATATTTCAGATTAAATTTGAAAAAAATTAAATATCTTACTTTTTGCGAATGGCAACATGTCGGCACATGGTAAATAAAATTTCGAGCTGGGGGCAATGCGTTTCTTTTAAATTTCTGGAGCTTTCTGATTAAATTTGAAACATGATTGGCTTAGACTAATGCCACTGTAAAAATTATCTTACTTTTTGTCGAATGGTAACATATTACTATTAAATCATATAATAAAAATTTCCCAAAGTTCACACAAGAGCATTAAGTAACTGAAAAACTAATTCGAAATTCAGAATTCTAGCCTCGAAATGCACGTGTTCAGAGAGGATTATATTTGTTCAAAATTTGGTGGCTCCAAGTGCTACCGTTTTTCCGCAATGTGCGGAACATACATACAGATTCTTCCTGAGTTAATGACAGAGAAAACAACAATGCCTGCGAAGAATATTGCTTCTAATTAAAACTTTAATATTTAAAAGTACCGGGAATAACTGGATTAGAATTAATGGTATGAACGAAACTTTTTTCTTTTCTTTTTTTTTAAATTAATGATATTAATTCCAATCTAATTCTTCCCAAAATTTTCAAAATTCTAACATGATAGATTTGTATATTTCATTACTCATTTCATCGAAAAGATGGTATTTTGATTTTCTCTTTATTCCGCCCATGGTTTTCCCGATAAATTTCTGCTGCTCTTCCCACCTTTGTAATTTTTTTTTTCGTTTGAAAACAAGGAACTTAAGACCTAACGCTCTCGAAATCAATACCTTCATTCAAAATCTAAGTCAATCTAGGACTGCTTTTTGCATAGTTTCTAGTTTTATTTTAGCATATTTCTCTTCCTCTTGTACAAGGTTATGTGAAGGCAATGAAACAAATGAAATAAATAAAAGTTGTGTTATGACTTATCTCACTTGCCTGAAAGTGACATCAGAACAAGCCCACAAAATTCATCGTGGCAATGTGAGCAAGATTGCGCATGTCGTTGGCAAAGCCTTGTGTATCATACAGGTGAGAGTACAACTTCGCTTATTTTTGCCTCCCCCCAGTTTTGAAGGAGAGCACCCCGGGCGAGAAAGGTCTGAAGGCCTCCCACCCCTCTTTCCCTACCACAGTTTCTCGAGAGGGCTTTCGGCTCATATTTAAAGTGCCTCATGCCACAGAGGTATTATACATTTACAAACATCCATGCCTTCTCAGGAATTTGAACTCGAGCCCTTCGATATCACAGTAGGCTCCTCTAACCACTATACTATCTGGGAGGTGATAAATAAAAGTCAATTATTGAGATGTCTCGTTTAATACAAAAGCGATCCTGAAAGAAATTGCGAAAAATACTTAACAATTAATATACTGATATTAGCTTGTTTCTTACCGTTATTTTGCGAAGCCAGGAAAGCTATTGAATGCATTTTTAAGTCAACAAATTATATTAGAAATAATGTGAAGCACCATTTATACATTCCTTAGTTTTACGTCATTCGTAATTATACATTGTTTGATACTCTGTCCTGATTTATTTCTTTTATGTTAAGAGTGAAATGTTTCATTTGTGCAACGCAGCCCACTAACGGCCAAGCTGTAAAATCTGTGAATACTGGTAGTTCCGACTTGGGTTTAAACCCAGGCGAATGGGCTGGCTGTATGGACATTTTCGTGGTTTTACCCCCGTGTAACGTGTATAGGAGCCAGGTTCCCTTAGAAAACCCTCCTCGAAGGCACCGTCTTCTTAACGAGGTAGCCCTAATGGATGCTTTATCTTGATAAACTAAACCAAATGAAACCATTTATACAACGCATAACTTAATTATACGCCATATTTTCCGAACATATCCATAGACGTTCATTTCCGCAAGTCAAACGATTTATCGAGAAGTCATTTTTTTTCAGCCAACATTTTTGGAAGTCGTGCATTGGTATTCAAGATGTAGAATGGAAGTCATGATATACATCAGAAAAGAATTCAAGTGGTGCACAGAATGCGAATCGCTTGCAAGGGTAGAATACATAGAAAATTATGCTGACCAAAAGCTTGGTGATAAGAGATGCTTCATTTTTGTGCCACTTTGGTAAGCATATTTTATCCAGACTGTTGTTACGTTTTTAGCTATTAATGCTTTAAGCTCAACATCAAATGGCACATCAGGCGATACATTCAATTTTCTCTTCGGAAAAATTCAAACTTATATCTATGTTAAAATTATTCGTGGAAAAATGCTTTATTAATTCCAGAAAACAAGTAAATACAGTCACTCTTATTTTTGCATTTAATATTATACAATTCCAATTTTTATGATTTTAAAAACTAAAGAAATACCCTAATTGTTTAAAAATACAGATAGTATTTTAAACAAACACTAGGTAGCATTAAAAACTAACATTTATGATAATAATACTAGTATACTAGAGTAATAACAATTAAATTCTGCAATTAGAACAAATTCATAAACTTAAATTTCGGTTGCATATTTTCGGTAAATTTCGTTGTAGGTATCCGGCTATTTCCTTATCCGTTCCGAAAATCGACCTAAGACTGAGAGATAATAGATGTTCCTGTGCACAGAGATATTTCTGTATTGTCTTATTCGTCATGATGATGATCCTGAAACTGACGGACAACTGACATTTCACCAAAGTTATTCGTCTCTTCTTTTATCCACGGTGACGATGATTCGGAGAATGGCGGACAACTGAGATATCGCCGCCGTTACTCGCCTATTTTCTTATTTTAGCGATGCTACTGAGACTGAAGGGTAACTGAGATTTAATTGTAGTTTTCCATCTATATTCTTATCTACCATAATGGTTCCAATGCATGATGATACTGTGATACTGAGACTGAAGGATAACTGAGATTTAATTGAAGTTCTGCATCTATATTCTTATCCACCATAATGGTTATAATACAGGAGGATAGATAAAATTTGATTAGTATTAGCTATCTATTTTCTTATCTGTTAAGACAATGATTTTAAGATTAACGGATAAATGAGATTCTATTACAATTATCTATCTGTTATCATATCCACCACGGTGGAGGTCCTAAGACTGATAAATAGACTAATGAATAAGTGAGATTTTGCACAGTTATTCGTTTATCTCTTATCCAGCTTGATGATAGTCCTGAGACTGGCAGATAACTGAGGTTTCACTGTACTTATCCATCTATTATCTTATCGCCGCGGCGATGGTTGAGACTCATGGATAGTTGAAGTCTCAACATAATTATCCGTCTGTTCACTTATTTACCACCACTAGAGTTCTGAGACTGACGGATATTGGATGTTATATTTTAATTTATGTTGCTATATTCCATTTGAAATTTAAGGCAATGATATTGTACGTTCAGATGGTATTGTACGTCTAAAACGAATTCACAAACTTCACGTGTTTTCTCATTATAATTTTAAATAAATTAAAATTAGCTTAACAGATTAATTATTATTTACTAAACGAGGTTTTGCAGAATTATAGGATTTTTTTATGTATTTATTTTTATTTTACAAAAAGTTATCTCTTCCTCCAGAATACTCCATCTCTGATCCATAACACGTTGAATCATATCCTGTCTAAAGATTTTCTTAAGGGTCAGCTTGACAAACAATTCAGTCGTACGAAAAGAAAGCAGTGAATTAATGTGTTGCTCAAGTTCTTTTCTTAGCCAATGTATCACCTTTTTCGTTGCTCATAATTCCACAGTGAACAGGAATCCATTAGAAAGAAATTCTGTGTGCCAGTGCCTTAAGCAAACAGTCTAAGATTCTTTGGGAAATATTTTGATTATTCAAAAAGGCTTGAAGCGCACTTTTGGAAACTGACAATATGACTGCCTTTACAAAAGAGTGACTACGAATCGACAGTTATTGAATAGTCACCAGCAATGGCTCCGATTTCATCATCAAAAGGCGATAGTAAGAGGGCCCATTGGTAAGTAGAAATTAAAAAGCTAGCTTTGGATACCTGCTCTAGCACGGCGTTCTTTTTCTAACATAGAGCCGTCAGTGTAGACACACATCCACTCATTTTGAGGACAGCGGACACCAATAGTCTACATTGCAATAGATCTTAATTGTGAATTGCTCATTTCGTTTTTAACAAGTCTCTGTATATGATGAAGATTCAAATTCAAAAGGTCCAAGGGATAAGGCGGTGGAGGTGGAATTAGATAATATCGGCTCAGTTAAAACGCATCAGATTCTCTCTGGGTAGCCTGGATGAAGCCAATTTGAGCTTTAAGATTTCTATAAATTTCATTATCATAGTTTCTCCAAAAAGAGTTGTCGGTCAAACGCACAAGCTTCTAGTATAATAGGATCTCTTT